ACTTTGACTACACAGAAATCGATCATATGGTCAGAAAGGCCATATGAGCGACCGTAATCATCGCTCTAACCTTGACGTGCTCTAACTTCATCATCACACTCAATGCAAGGATGAATGCTCATTTTGATCAGTTTGTATTCGTATTGTAGCTAGCTCTACCCCTTTCACATAGACTTTGATCGGATCAAATATACATGCGACCGCCAGAGGAAACAGAGCACAACTGCATAATTTTTTTCCTATTATGATCCTAAGGGAAATGATGCTATCAGACTACTGCTGCGAAAAAAGTCACGAGCATAAACAATAGCCAGTTATCTTAAAAATATCACACTTACCTTACGCAAGGCAACAAGTTAATTTCATTTGTATGTTACTCGCTTTACCTTTTACCGACTTGTCGAACGCGTTTACCAGGTGTTTTCATCTGTTATCGTTAGGAAAGTCACAAATAGACACAACAGAACTTTACTTGTATGTTACGCCGCATCCATGCATTTGTTGTTATAGAAACGAACAACGCTACCCTCTGTTGTTAGAAACGAACAACACTTTAAGAGTCGTTACTCAAACATATTTCAATTCTGACCATACAATCGATTTCTGTGTAGTCAAAGTCTTCATTGCATTTTAAGAAATAAGAAAGAGTTTTACAAGCTTACGAAATGTCTGTGAGTAAGAAACGAGTACATACCAAACGAACAACGCTTCATGTTGTTGTTGGAAACAAACAACGTTTCCCATTGTTCTTAGGAACGAACAGCGCTTTAAGAATCTTCATGGTATTGTCGGCAACAAAGAGCGCTTTAGTGATAAAAAATTTCTCAACGTTATTGCCTATTTACAGTCTGAAATTCTGATCTTTTTAGTATTTGTTTCTTCGGGCGACTTGACTTTTTTTTTCGGGCAACATGACTAAAATTTCGGGCAACATGACTCAGGTTTCGGGCGACATGACTTCAGGCGAGATGACTCTCGGGCGACTTGACCGGTTACCGCTGCACCACACCTCTGGAACATCTACCCCTGCTATACAGACAATGGACACCAAACTTCAGCCCCACTAAATTAACATAAAGTAAAGTCAACTACTTTCACTGTTACAGACACTTTGATGACTGGGTGATAAGAGTTGGTGTATACGTCATGTTTGTGGCAACACTAACATCAATGCGCTACTTAACAGAGCTAAACCTCACCAAACCTAAAACCTATATACAACACCATATAATCACTGACAACCAAAGGCATAATCACTCTCATGTCCTGCATACAATAAACTCATGATATCATTTGCTTCTGTCCAATAATGACACATGAAGGCTTTTTTAAGGCTTGAAAGACTCAAAAAGAAGTAATTTTTTTGTTTACTTTAGTTAACATAGGGTTGGATTGGGTTAGGAACTAACCTGTCCCTTGGAATCACCTCCAACAACTCGGACATGAGAATCAAGAGTCTTAGGCACAACTGTCTCCAATGCTGATTGTGGTACATCTGAACAAACAAACATAAACATAAGTTAATTATTATGGATTCACTCCTGTAGATTACAAAATAATGGACAATAAACTGAATTCATCACGACAGTAAAGAAACATTGTGGAGAAGGAGACAACTTAAAGTGCTGATGCACCATGCTAGGGATGTCCCACTAATCAAAGTGTAAGAAAAGTATATACAAATATAAAAAATAAAAGTTCTAATTATCCTAAAAAAAAAAATTCCTTTTTAAGGCTGTGACACTATTTGATTCTCTAACATGATTGGGTAAAACTATTCCATTTATTAATAATTCAGTCTTGATTTTTTTAATTTAGAGCAAAGTCACTTTTTCTCAAGATGTAATTTATATTCCTGTCCTACAAAGTAGGAGCTTGTTTGAAATATCTTTATCATAATGAAGATTAATTACCGGTATATTGAACAAAAAGGTAACATCTCTCATGAGCTTCTTATTAGATAATGACAATAATTTTAACTTAGATAATCTAGTATCATAATCATCATCAGACTTAGTAATCCCTTGGGTGGCTCTTTGCTGGACAGCCTCTAATTTTATCAATGTTATGTTTAGTATGAGGGTCCACAGTGACAACTTTTTAGACCACCTTTGTAAATTCTGACTCAGTCTGCACATGTACCTTCAATAAGTCTTCCCTCCTCTGTCTGGCAAACACATTTGTCCCTACTGACTACATCAACAACTTTTACCTACAGAATAAAAGCAAAACTTTGCATAAGATTACAATTATTTATTTCCACCAAAACATAAAATTCAATTAGTTTCACAGTACTTCCATATTCTAAATGGTCCCCACTCTGTTACTTCTCATCTGAATGTTGAAGAATCTACATGCAGGAGACTGTACAAAGAGGTAATCACTTGCTTGCCAGGCAACATGTGTGATGATGGACAAAAATATCACACAGTAGGTGGAATGGGTAACAGTATCTATTTATTATTCCTGATTGGTTTTTAAAAAAGCAACTTTACTACTAGTTTGGACATTAAAAAATTCTATGGTTAAAGAAAGACAATAAACCTTTTTGTTGTAATATTTGCCCTTCTTGTAATTCTTGCTGATGATCCTCACTTTTATTTGTGGATACAGCCAACATTTGGTTTGAGTGTTGCTTCCCTTTTGTGAACTGGAATTACTTTTACCTTCTTTGCTCTTCTTGGAATATTTGCTATCTTTGCACTTTTGACTGCAGTTAACCAAGGAAAAATACATTTCAGTCTAAATGCTTAACCTCAATCTCTGTCTCATAATACAATATCTGTTCTTCTTTAAGTTGCTCTAATATATGATCTCAATAACTACTGATAACTCCAGATGTAGGAGGAGGGGGTGGTGTTACCGAGAGGGGGAAGCCTCTCCTCATTGATGGCTGGTATGCTTGTATAATCATTTGCATTATATTAGGCAGGAGAGGATAAGGAGGCGGCACTTCTCAATTATTGGGGGATGTTTGAAATCAGTCTGCCTTGCGGAAGGTTGAGGTGTGAGTTATGGTGGTGAAGGCTGAATGGAGCATCTCATGGTTTGTTTCTGATTGTAGCCACTTCTGATTGTTATGTACATCTGAAGAGGTTATATTACCTAAAATCACTTTCTAAGCTATTTAAGGGTTATATCTTACAAGTTAAGGGAGAACTGAATACAAGACAATAAACAATTATTAGGATGTTCTAACCTTTCCTGTTCATCATTTCTTGTTCTCTTGTTACTTCTTATTTTGTGTCCATTTTGTTTTAGTTTGTCTAATAGGAACATAAAGACTTAAGTCACATAAACAAATGATTATAAAAAATACCTGATGGTTAGTATTACTTAACTAGTATTATTTCATTTGAGAATTCTTTCAGATATTCTGAATAAGAATAACACACATAGGGAAAGAATTTAGTTTGCCCACATTTCAATTGAGAAACAGAGGGCAGGCAGTTTTTATCAGTTACTCAATTAAAATAGTGTTGCCTGTTAGTTTGTGTATTGCTCTAAGAGATCTCCATATAAATTACACATGTAGGTCTTTCATGGTCTTAAATGCAAGGTCTAATTTGCCTTCAGTTTGTTGGATTTCTAGCCACAGCATGTTAAAAGAGACAAACAAACGAACTACTGTCTTCATTGATTTACTGGCTTGCTTATGATACATGCATGCTCAGTCAGCACTCTTTAAGAAGGACAAAGTAGGAACTGAACCTAAATGTCTGTCTTAAAAGTGAATCATGACATTGAAACCACTCTCTACACTGCTTTTCTTTGTAAAAAAAATAGCCCTTAATACCCAAATAACACTGAAAAGAAGCAATGTTGCTGATGTAGTTAGAGCTGATGAATGAAAAGTGACCAACATTTTTTAATCTAGCTCCAGCAAGTAGTGCTATCAAAATTCTCACCTTGTCTTGATAGGGCCCTATATTCAATATCATCTAATAGTCTAGCATTACACTGGTGTAATGTGATATTCTGAAAGAAAAAAGTATTTCACATTTTTAAAGGTAGCTACATCATCCTATATGGTGGGAGATCCCACAACTCATCTTATGAGTTTCTCTCATATTCTACCTCACTTCACCCTCAGATGTGATTAACAAGTAAGTTCTCCTTTTAAAATCATTACATTATCCAATCCAGCAAATAGATTATGCAAATGAACAAGCATTATTATTTGACTATAACTTATTAATGTGTACCAAATTTTCTTGAAAAAAGGGTAAAAGCGAAGAACAGTTCCCAAAAGATACTGTCAGCTGTCTGTCGACCAACAGTCAGCCAACTGTTGGCCATCTGTCAGCTGACTGTCGGCCAACTGTTGGCCATCTGTCTACTGACTGTTGGCCAACCATCAGCCAACTGTTGGTCAACCATTGGCTGATAGTCGGCCGACAGTTTTCATAATGTTGCAGACTAAAGCATCAGCCAACCATCAGCCAACAGTTGGCCATCTGTTGGTAACCTGTCGGTGACCTGTTGGTAATGTGTCGGTAAGTTGTGTGCTGAAATGATCACAAACAGTTACTTATTTATCACTTCAATGTCGAAACGGGAAAAATTAACCGCAGAGAGATAGTGAGTATGGCTATTGCCTAACTTGCTTGCATTGGCTAGTGAAACATGCCCATATTGGTTCAATTTCATGAATCATTTTCAGTTACTTGCTCTTATCCAGAGTTTTCAAAGCATTTTCGCGTTCTTGGCTGATCGCGGCTTGCTAGCATCCTGGCAGGAATGTGCTTGAAGCATGCAGATGGTTTTAAAAGAAAGGCAAACACTCCTGAATGAAGTCTAATAAAATGCCAAAAAAAGGTATACTTTAATATTTTAATTGTCACAATACGCCAAAAAGGGTGATGATTGTGACCTGTCACAAGAAAAGAAAGATTAATCAGACCTACATGAAGTATTGTTAACTATGGTTTTGCAATGCATTATGGGGCAATTGAAAAACTTCCTTTTTGCTATAGACCAAACAGGCCTATTTTTGTAAAAATACAAGTTAGGAAGAAGGTAAATACAAAATTGGTGCATACCGTCTGGTTAACACTATTGGCCGGCTGTCGATAATGTGGCAGTATCATGTCGGCCGACAGTTGGCTGACAGGTTACCAACAGCTGAACATGGGAGCTATTGTTCACTTTTACCGAAAAAAAAGAAAATTTTAAGCTGCTGAAAGTGACTTGAATGTAAATCTGATGTTGGGAGTGTAAAGGTAAACCACTGGAGAAGATTATGAAACATAAGACAAAGACTAACCTCTTCACTTAAATGAAATTGGATTGTAATTCTTGAGGTATCAACATCTACAGCCACAATCTACAAAACCGAAAAAAAAAAGCATGCTGATCTCTAGTCAAACAGTGTACACTGTACATGAAGAAACTGTTCCTTCAATAAAATTTTTTAGGAGAGTGTCATCCTAAAAATGTCAGTTTTTGGTGACACTCCAGCACCTTATAACAACCTGTGCATATATCTGTAAGAAATCTTCATTATCAGAGACAAGTCAAGAGTTTTATGTCAGTAAAATACTTCAATTCTGATTAAAAAGACTATTGGTCAGTTTTATCAAGATGTGATGATGTTGCAGTGAATAGGACATTTTATTCACCTTTCCACACATATCTTGATGAGGACCTTTCTCTATTATAACTCCTACACCAGGTCTGTAATCTAAGATCAGAAAATATAAACTGTCAAACTCCACACATTAGAACCCAAAAACCATGGCTAGCTTGTAATATATTACCTGATATAATATATTACCTGATATGTTACAGAAGTCAGCTTTAGAAAAATATTCATGAAAATTTAATGGAAATTTAATGAAATATTAAAGTAAGGAGAAACATTGTGATGGCTGCTTAACAGTCAAAGGTGACGTCTTTTAAACCAGCCAGATGGCCTACACTACAAAAGCTTAATATTCTTATTTTGATAGCTTCAAGTGGCAACAATCATTGCTACTCTTCTTCATTTTTTGCATGTACCACTGTGATTTTGGGAGGTAAAAGTCACTTTGAGCATTGGTGTCAATTTCTGTGAACACAATACAACTACTCTAATCATGATTCCAATCACCATTGTTCAAAACTCAATCTGGATTTGGTTGTGCTAGTAGTGGCCAGCAGGCCATTAATTTGTGAATATGCACTGATTACATGCAAGTTTCATCTCTTTCAAAATAATTACCTAAAGATGATTCCTGAGGGAGTGCCTCTCCTACTCCTTTAAAGTGTCTGACACGACCATCCTTTTCTTTAATAGCACCAGAACTCTATTTAAGCACAACATCATATAAATTTCATAAAAGAATTCTATGCCTAGATTATAATTTCTCCTCTGATTGTTTCCTGAACTGTTTACGACAGTTAGTATGACAGATTCAGTGAAGAAAGACCACGAGAAAATTATAAGCAAAAAGTTGGAAGGACTTTCAGAGCACTAAATGTGTATTAGAGAAGCCAAAGAGGCTGAAATTCTATCTAAACATAGTATATAAGTAGAACCATACCTTTTCTGTGATTGAGTCTCCTGGTTTCCGCTTCTTCCCAAGTATCATGTCATCCATGACTCTTCTTTCAGCCCCCAGCCCTAAACCCTTAGATCTTGGAATATATTCTATAGGTTCTGTAAACCTAAAATAAATAGTAAGTGAAACATGTCATCGAAGAATAAGTATAATTACAAACCTAAGGGGGATTACTGTCAAATTGACTTAATTGTGTTCCAGATTTGCCAAAAGTTCTGAGGAACGGGGTATTTTTGAAATCTGGACATAAGTTTCTTGCAAAGTTTGACATCATTTGGATATGCAGCTGTATGTATCCGTATTGGCCACATCTTATAGTACTTCTGTACATCAGTGACTAAATGCTTTTTAAAACAAAGATACAGGAACATTGACAAGACAGGGGGGATGTTTTTTAACTTTCATATTGCATGAGAGCAATTTCTTTCAAAAGGTTTTATCCCCAAGTGCAGATACAGCATTTTAAATCATCCTTAGAAATAATAATAATAATAATAATAATAATTATTATTATTATTATTATTATTATTATTATTATAGTAATAATAAGCTACATATACTTTGAAATCACTCACATCTGAACATTTCAAATGTCAATAGGTATGTAGTGTATCATTACCCTTTGTTTGTGCCTCCAATAGCTTCCCCCTTATTCCACCCCATTCCACGTAGCATGGCTGCTCCAAATGAAGACACAGGCATATCCTCATAGTCTCGCATTGAGCTCTGTGATGAGAAAAAAAAATTAACTAATTGATGCTATGTACCAGGTAGTTGACACTAGCTGTCAGTGCAGCAAGCTGTATCTATTAATTGGAGGGGAACAGGGGGTGGGAGAGGGCTAATGCTTGTCATCCAGCCTAAAGCCAGTACCCAAAATAAAATTTCACAAGCAAGTAAACAATTTTTTCTCAGGCTGAAAAAAACAGCATAATACTGGTGGAATTTGATACCTATGAAAGTTGGTTACACGATAGGTCATGAATGAATTTTTCAGTACCTTGCCAACTGCAACAGTCAAAATTCTTCAGCGAAAAAAGCAAGCCTCGTCAAATGTCATCAGAGGCTGTATTGATCAGCCTCTGTATTTTTCAGTGTGGGAATGAAAAATTAGTCCTTAGAAGACTTTGTTTCTGGCTGAGGTTTTATTGACTAAAACTGTACCAATAACACTGGAGATGGGGAAAAAACCAAGGCACACTTACTAATACATTTTCCTTTGTATCATTTTACTGAAAATGCCCTGCATAAAATGTAGGAAATGGCATTTCCAAAACTCTAAATTTAAAAAAATTCAGGGGGAGCATGCCCCTAACCCCATGCTAGACCCCTAAGTTTGGAGCACCTTGGTTCTCAGTATTTTCTACTTGCTTGTACACCTTTTCAAAAGGCCTCACACAATGCCTTTGGTTTCAAGTAAGATTTCAACGGCTCAACTGAAAGGACTCTTAACTTCACATTTGGCTTTTCTGTTTCTAAGGTGTTATTGCTGGCCAAATGGTCCTTTGAAAGAAGTCAAACTTGGAGCCCTGACTTTCCCTCAAACAAGTGGATGGATCATGCACCCCTAGACCTCTAAAACATTTTATGATTTATATGTAAATGCAATGTCCAGACAACGTCCCCCTACATGGCGCTTATATTTGGCAACACTTAACACCAAAACATTTGTGAGAAGATATTGTTTTTCTCATATTCCCTGCATGTTTCATAGGCTTGCACCTAGTACTAAAGAATACATGCTGCACACTTTTAAAACTGCTGTACAGGTTAATATTGAAAATTGTTCTATATAATCATTGTGTGCTAGGAGAAGGCTACTGATCAAGTTACAACACATAATTATGCTTCTTGACAAAGGATAGAAAAATAATTTGTCAGTCTTCATATACCCTTTAGGAAACCTATCAATACTAACTTGTTCAGGCCGTAATGCAATGTCCAGTTTCTCATTCTTTTCATATCCCTCAACGTCAGGTAAAGGATTTCTCATCAACAGTGGAATGCTTACATTTTCATTTTCATTACCTTCAGTATCATCTCCAGAAACAGCTGCATTTGAAAGAGTATAAAAAATCTGGTCAAATAACTGATACACATGCATAACATGTTTTGATTGCCTGAAAATCTTATGGACAATCATTTGTGCTTGTTTAAAAAATAACAGAGCTGTATGAAGGGACAGGTATTTAACATCCTTTAGATGGTGTTTGTTTCTTTTTGCACGTCTACACTTGTTACATGTCTACTCTGTGAGGGTAAAAATCTGAAAACAAAGCTTTCAATCCCCAGGAACTTGGCCAAAACATGATTTAATGGCTATTTTATGGCTATTCTTCTTTGAAAATATAAAACAGAGCAAATAAAATTTTCTCATACCAGAATACAATTGACAGTAGTTTTGTTAAGGTTACTCCCCACCTTCTTGGGTGTCCTTAACGAAAAAACTTGTATACACAGTAGTTTCACTAAATCCTTGCAAACTATACTTTGGAAGAAAGCTTAATAACTGCAATTTGCAATAAAAATATAATTTAAGGGACTTTTCTTTAAGGGAGTGTCAGGAGCTGGTAAGACGTGAAACAACTGAAGGTTCTTATTTATTGGGTATTGGACACCACAGCACGAGCAAAATGGCCGCACGGTCTCATTCACAAGGCATCAAACAACAAAAGTATATCAGGCTTTTCTAATATTCTGATTGGTTGTCTAGATATTGGCATCTAGAGTTGGAAAAGCTAGAAATACATGAGTTGTGTTGCATAAATGGATGCCATGGGACAAATATTTCAAATATCAAAATTTCCTGACACACTTTCCTTTGTCATTATTCCTAGGATGATTTGTTGAAGTTTCATGAAAATTGGTCAAATCAATGTACCCTATAAATTCGCTCTAAGTGGTTGTATTCCTTCCTAAATCAAATGTAAGATTTTAGATTGCTTCATGAGCAAAGATTTTTCCACTAGTGAATTTTGTAAAGTGCATGATCTAAACAAAATATAGAAGTAACATGAAAATCGAGCCCAAACATGAGCGGTTGCCGCGAAAATTCCCCCAGGGAATTCGCCCAGGCCTGAGATTTATTAGATTTTATTTAAAAATACGTTTTTCTAAATAACTCGGCTGCTCTTAAAGATTTCAGAATTTTTTTTTTAATGGGAACGTTAGGTTGAATGCTTGAATTCAGTTTTGTCAGATAAAAGAAAAATTCTTTTTTTTCGGCCTCTGAAGGTGGGAAGTAATCTTAAAGTTCTACACCGTTTGTTTCACCTTTTAAAAGTTCCTCAGCAGCCTGTCTATCCAAACTGTCCACAAACTTGGCATCTTCTGGAAGAATCCATCGATTTTTGGTTTTGCAAGGAATAACTTTCTCTTTTGGTTTCTCCTCAGGTTTGATACTTAAAAATAGCAAAACGACTAATCAATTGTTTTAATTGTTGTTTTTTTTTAAACTGCATATTCAAATTATCGTCAACTCTGTTCATGATTGAATATTTCAGAATAATTGATTACATGAAGACAGATGAAGATGTTGTAATTGTCAAATGTTGAGTTTACCTTTTCAGTTCTTTCCCCTCAGCAGCATTAATGTAATCAGTTTCTTCCTTTTTAGCCTTAGCATCATCTGAATTTAAGGCATTTTTTTCGGACTTGTTTTTTGTAGAAACCTTCTTGGAAAAAGAAAACGATACACCTTTCTTTCGACTATCCGCCATGTTCCTTGCATTCTTACATTAACCTTCATATTTGCCTACTCATTTTATAACGGAGGTGTACTGGAATCGAATCGCACATGGCATATTTCCATATTTCCTGGCGTAACTTCGTAGCCGACTCCATCCTCCAAAATTATGTCTTACTGCAGAGAAGAGGGTAAGAAAGTGTTGTCATGAATTTAAAATAATTATTTAATAAATATCTAGTAACTCGTATTTCCAATCGTAGGTAAAGATAAAGTGATTTTCGTGACTGAGGAAGACCATGCGACCCCAAGCTCTGTGACATTGGGCGAAGATGACGAAGAAGAATTAGAAGGTCTGATCACAGAAAGCGGCGAAATAAACTGGGATTGCCCTTGTTTGCAGGGAATGGCATACGGGCCTTGTGGAGAACAATTCAAAGCAGCATTCTCATGCTTTCATTACAGCGAAGCGGATCCAAAGGGTTCTGACTGTATTCCACAGTTTCGTGACATGCAGGAGTGTTTTGTGAAGTTTCCTCAAATTTATGGAAAAGATGATGAATTTGATGAAGAAGATGACTCGATAAACATGAAATTAGAAACTGAAAAGACTATTAATGGACAAGAAAATACCATGTTGTCCGAAGAAAATTACTCAGCGCTGGTTTCTGTTGATAGTTCCGATGCAAACTCAACTTCAAGCTGACCATTTTTTTCTAATGGCTGTTTTAATAGTTTGTATTCCACATTGGTGGGAGGAAGTTGTTGTAACAATGTTTTTGAATTTCACACTCCTTTGATGCCATCAAAATAGTGTTGTCACATGTGTGTTCATTTGTAAGTTTATTATTTATTTAGGTACCAAGAAGTTACAATCTCTAACGCCTTTTTCCATGTTAGCAGTCCCCATCCCCTATCTAAGACTACGTGGAAAGATGATCAAAGGGGATAAGATTCTAAAGAAACTGTGGTGTGGCATCCAAGGGGTTGTAACAAGATAATTTGATTTTATCAGTGGAGTTGGTAATGCAAACTGGCCATAGTAAAGAGTTTCTAAAGCTGACACTTCAAGCATTAGCCCTAGGGGAAAAGCAAATGGTTGGGTGACGATACCTTGGCTTAGGGTCAGATTGCACTATAAATATTTCCTACACATTGAGGGATCTGCAGTGAATAGCTTACTCAACAGAATATTGTGTGTCCACAGCCTTATGCACCACCTAGCATTTAATTGATTTTTTTGGAACTCACCATGCATGGTTGTGGTGCTGACTGTTGCATGTAGTGCTGTGAAACTGGTGCATACAAAATCAGATTGCTTTAGATAAGCCTGGTGCATATGCTTTCCCACCAAGACTGTCTCAGGGAGTTGTCCACAAGCATGATGCCCCATGCAGTGACAATTAAGCATGCCCACACAAATTTCTTTTCAAACAATGGTGCACCAGTGTGTCCCTCAACAGTAGTATTCTTCTGTTGTTTGATCTCTAAAATGATGTCAGTGAAGGGAAGAGTGTTTTTATATAAACCAAAAATTAACATTAATTTTATAAAAAGAGGAACCATTGAAAGTTATGATCTGAACCAAGATAGAGTGATGAGTCCATGGCTCTAACACCACAATTGATACCAAAATTGGAAAACATACTTGCAAGTGCAGAAACTGATGACAAAGATGACCAAAACTGCAAGTGAAAAAAACACATTATGCTACCTTGTATAGGTATAGATTGAAAACGGGCAAGGTTGTAAAAATCATCACCACTCTCACATTGAATCAAATATTTAACCCCCAAAACCATACACTGATGAAGAATTCATACCCCTTAGGACCTGACAAAATCAACTAAAAGGGCTGTTTTTGATTTGAGTTGCACATCATTCTTGCCAAGCTCTATGTAGTATGACTTGTGGTGTACCATCTTCTCCTACCCTGAGGCCACACCTGCACATTCTTGTCACTCTTCTCTTTACTATTCTGGTGTTATTGACCAGGAGAATTTGTTAAACAGTAAAGAGCTACAGTCGACCATCATTTTCTCTAATCTTATGAGTTTTATGTTTGATTTGGTCATGATAATAAACCAGTGAAGTGATATAGTAATTCATCATTTCACAGGTTTAAGAACCAACAACAAAGTGACCAGCTCCCAGTTTGCTTGCTAGCTCAGTTGGTGGTAAGAGTAAAGCACCAGTAATACAGAGTTCATGGGTACAATTCCTGTTCAATTCCTGTACACACCTGAATTTTTTCAGGCTGTATTTTCGCTACTGCTTAAGTACAATAGCATTCATTACTGCAAAGATTACTCCCATATTTATTTATCAATTTGTGGTTCACATACTGTTATATGATTTTCACAAATTCACAGTCATTTATTCATAACTTCATGGGTTCATGATGAACCAGAGAACTTACTAGCTCCCAGTTGGCTTGCTAGCTCAGTTGGTAGAGCATTGTTATCACAAAGGTCATGGGTTTAACTCCTATGCAGGAATGAATTTTGCTTTCATGCTTTATTTTCACTACTGCTTAAGTAGTGTTCATAACTGCAAACATCACTCTCATATTCAAAGATAAATTTATCTAACATTATTTTATCAAATAATGCTTGGATCTTTTTATGAAAACAATTCTACAAGAGAAGTTTGAAGATTACTGTCTTCAAAATGATACACTTTGCACATCATTGTTGATGATTTCAAATGACCAACCTTCAAAATGTCTTAGCATAACTCAAAATTAGTGCTCAAACTAAGTCTAGAAGCCCATGACATGGTGAGTTTGTTTTCTCTTCACTTTTGATTGTTTCTTCACTTGTTTTGGTTGGGGTGAAGATGGTGTGCCCTGATTTTGAACTGAATTGGTAGGAAGAGTACCATCAAATTCACTGCTCTGTCTAGCAGAACATAACAGATCTTTTGATTTTGAGACCCTTGCAGCCTGTGATGGCACCATGTTTCCTTTTTCATTTTTCTTCTCAGTTTCATTATTTTCTGATCCTTTTTCCTCTGATGAGAAAACCGGTATTGGTTCAAAACTTGCCCAATTTAACCAGAGACTTTTACTGAGAGGGTCTGTAGCTGTAGCTTTATCTGGAAAAATTCCCAGCTCTTTTGGTTCAAATTGCATACATAGAGTCTCTCTTGTAAGAACCCCTTCGTTCTTTTGATTCTTTACCAGATTTAAACTGTGACTCAACCCCAGTCCACATCTTTCACAAATATTTGATCCAGAATCTGTCAGCTCCAGCAGCATGGTGTTAGGAACTTGCTTGTTATTACACAATACACAACAGGGATGAGACTCTGGCAAAAGTGCTACTTCATCACAAAGAGCTTCAATGTCAACCTCAATGCATTCTTCTTGATTTTGAGCAGATTTTACAAAGTTTTCATTTTGAAAATTAGCAAGATCAATCCATCCTTGACACAGAATCTTAGCTCTAGGACCAAGGTCATCAATAGCAATTGCAGCACTTTCATTATTAGAGGAAAAGTTTCCTGTTGAATTTTTGCCATCTCGTACAACAAATGGCTGGTAGAATAAATCACCAACAGATGACATTTGAAAGACAGTGAAACCCTTTTGAGGATGGGAGGTGTGTAACAGGGTGCAGATGCCAATGAGAGGTTTTGACAAGCGAAAAGCACTTGCTGGTGAGGAGGTGAGGCCACTCCTGAGCCCTTTGTAATACCACTCACTATAGGATGATACCTTCAACAAGAAGAAGCTATTTAAGGCTCAGTAAATCCTGAAATAGCTGTGGGTCTACCTTCCAAGGGTTCAGTTATGGGATATTTTGGGGTGTACTACCAAGGCCCTAAAACCCTAACCTTGTCTATAACAAAACCTCTTGCTGCCCTATTCACAAAAAAACCACTTGTCATTTACAAGATTATTTTGATGCATCAAACCTATCCAGCCACAACTGGCATTAAGAGAATGCTAGTACCACAAATGTAACCTGTGCATAATTATTTACCCTCAACCCTACTAAGGACTGTAGTCTGGTTGTTTGAGGGGTGGATAACAATATTCCACTGGACAAATCTCTATTTGGTTGACAGTGCAGTGCATCTTGTTAACAGTTATCCTCTGAAGAATAATTCATCCATTTGATAGGGTTATCCTTCCTTTGGAAAACTAGGCCCTGGTGCAGACAGAAAGCCACTTCATTAGGCTTCTCTATTCAGGGGACACAACTTTGTCTCAAATGAGAAAAAAAAAGCCCAATAATGTCTTTGTGCTACACCATTAAAGAGACAAACCTTTGCTCAGAATTACCCCATTCATGGATGCAGCTCTTAAAAAAGAGGTTTGACTTACCTTCCATGGAAGAGTTGTTGATTGAGGTGGCAAATAACACTCTTCTTTGTTTAAAGGGATGACATCTCCTGCTTGGGACTCGCCTTCAAAATACTGAAAGCAGTGAGTCTGTTGATGATTTGATCCAGAAATCACCAACCGTGTGTCATTGCACCCTTGAATTGTATCACAATTAACATTAATGAACTGAACTGGGTCTTCATTGTGATGTCTCCACTTTAAGACTGGGTGTTGAAGAAATCGATCATCTAGAAGCAAAAGTGACTGATCAGTGGCCAATACATAGTGGTGGGTATTCTGTGGGTGACGCTGAATTGCAGACACACATTCAAAGGAGTCAACTTCGGGTGATGGGATGGAGAAAAAAAACTTTTGGAACAGTTTTCCAGCCTATGAAAAGAAACAAAAATGTTGTTTAGGTATCATTTGTCACAAAAAGTAAGATGAAAAATTGTAAGTCTGTACTGTGTATTTCAATGATAAAACAACATTATGCCTGGAGGCATTAATGTGGGATGCCTTGATTGTTACCTACAGTCCTTGGTTATATGCTGAAAACAACAAATTTATTGCATTGCCTCCTTCAAAAATGAAAAAAATGTCAGCAACAAGGGATACTATGTTTGGTCAACAGGGCTTCACTTCAACAAGCATGTGACTAATGTCCAAATCTGACTATGACCACACTTTGGCACGTTTTTGATGCATCTGCCATAGGCCTGCCATGTAATTATCACTTATCATAATCATGCTAAACACATGAAAAATTTACTACATCCTACCCTGAAATCCATCAAGTTCATCTCTTTTGCATCTGCCAATGCTATGCACCGAGGGTTTGCAGCAAAGACACACTGGTACCATGACAACTCTTGACTGTTGGGAGAGTTAGGTTGATGAACAGTCTGTAGAGAGTGGTCACATGACCACAAGTACACTCCACCAGTTTCTGTCACAATGATGGCTTCTCCAGGAATGTAGGGGTTAACAGCAATACACATGGCTTGTTTACTGAGAGCTAATGTCTCTAAAGGCCTTATAGATAGCTGAGGACAAAACACAAACATTAAGTTTTAAACTTTTCATCCAGAGCAAGTTTCAAACACTTGATTATGTCATTTTATGAAAAAAATCACCCCTAAGCCTTGCTGCCACTTCATTGTTATGAATGTCTTCCACTTTCTTGCATTATTCATGTAGGAATTTCTTTGGTATCAGTGTTTGGGGAATAATTCATAGTTAAAATTCACCAGTCCAATGCAATTTAAACATGCATGATAGCTAATAAGGGCTGTAGGCAATCTGGGAGTGAATTCATTTTGCTTTTGTGCACCAAAACTGGTCTTAAATTCTCACTCCACGTTGTTGACCAGTTTTGAGTTTGTCATTCATGCATACCCAAGCTTGAGGTAGTTTATAATTCTCATATCAGCCAAATGACTCAAACCAACCTGGAAAGGTGAATTTATCAACTATGTTGGGAGAGCACCTATTTCTC